AAAAAGGATGTGACTCAAAAGTTGGAGATGCTAAAAACTGGATTAGAATTTTGTGTAGCCATATGAAAAATGAATCACAGATAACAGTGACTAATCACTATATACATGCAAAAATATACAAACAGTGAAATACAGCAGAAATTTCAATTAGTGCTAGCCAGGATACAAAGCATTCACCCATCCCATTTACTAAGCACCTACTAGGTGACAGCAGCTGCCCTTTGTATGCATTGCTACATCTAATCAGAACAATGATCCCTCCAGGTAGGCTTTATGAACTCCCTTACATATGAGGAAACCAGCAGAGAAACTGAATAATGTCAATCAGTTGGCACTCCTACTGTGCAGAGCCAGAATTTGATACAGCTTTTCCTATCTTTTAAAAAAATATATCTTTGTTGATTTCAGACAGAAAGGGAGGAGAGAGAGATAGAAATATCAACGATGAGAGAGAATCATCCATCAACTGCCTCCTGCATGCCCACAAATGGGGATCTACCCTGCAACTCCGGCATGTGCCCTGACCGGGAATCGAACCGTGACCTTCTGGTTCATAGATCAACACTCAAGCACACCAGCCAGGCTCAGCTTTTCCTATATTGAGGCTAGGCTCTTTACCCCATGCCAATCTAGGATGATTTATATTTTAAGATAAATTAAATGAATCAAGGATGCCTCTACAGTGATTTTACCCTTGTTGGTTGCAATATGCTTTCATAAGCGATCCAGGGCTGGAGATATAGCCAGTCTTTGGAAGTGTGATATACGTAGCCCATGGCCACCATCATTTTGTGGATGAGAACAGCTGATGGTCGAAAGTGAAATGTCCATTAGGTTGAGCTCTTAATTAGTCATTTAATAGAGATCAGTGGCAAGAACAGGAGTTTGGGAAACACATGGCCCTGATTCCAAATTTGAATTCCGCTATATAGTAGTTACATGAAAAACCCCGGACAGGTGACTTTACTTCCTTGACCTGTTTTTTCATACAGTCACAATACATTTATGAAGGGAAAAAAAGAGGGAACTTTGGATAATGGAAAAGTCCATCATTAGGCTAAAAGGGCTTGGCCTTATTCAGGCATTAATAGTCTTGGGCAAGTCACAAACTCTAAGCCTCTTTCTTTGGTGAAATGTGGATGGCATTTACCTCAAGGGTTTGCTGTAAGAGTCTGAGATAATGTATGTAGGTACTTAGAGCAGCTAGACTATATTACAGTACTATATGACATCATTAACACAATGTTTGGCAAAATACTTATAAGTTTCCACCCCCTTTATTTTAACTTAGGCTTCATTATAATGCTACTAGTGGCCCGGTGCATGAATTCGTGCACATTGAAAGGAAATAAATTAGAAGAAATATTTTAATATCGCTATTCACCCTTTCTCTGTAATAGAAGTGTCAACCAAATTCACAATAGACAATGACAGATGGAAACATATGCGTGCAATTGGCGCCATCAAGAGCTTTATATGTATCACACATGCGTGAGTCAACTTAGCTTTTTATATATATAGAATAAACTTGCTTAATTAGACCTGCTTTCTGATTTAGCTAAACTTTTTCCAGCCCAGTGAAGCACCCCAACTTCTCTTTCAGGTAATTGTCAGCAACACAGCAGTAAATATCAACACGAAGCAGATTATTATTGTAGATCGTCCAGGAAGAACAAAGGGCAAAATATTTAACCACAGCAGTGTTTGACTCTATTCTGCGCAGTGAAAAAACCTGAAGTCATTTTCAAGGTCCACCATTTCTTTCTTCATTTTAGTCAGGTCAAGTTTCTAAGCTTTCTAAATCTCCATTTTTCTGCTAATGAAAAGAAAATAGGATTCCACTGAGTCTCCTATCTACCTACTCCAGGACTTCTGTGAGGATCAAATGAGATGAGACATGGGAAAACGCTTCACAGACCTTTGGTTAAAAATGTTTCCACCTGGCTATGAAGCAAGTGGTATTCCTGGGCTGAAGAAACTCCAAGGAGGCTAGTTGCTAGGGAGAAGAAGCCGGGTGTTGCTATGTGACGTCATTACCCGGACTGTTGAACACTTATGATATTAGCCTTTTTTATATATAAACTAGAGGCCCGCAGCAGGAAGATTCCTGCAAGAATAGGGCTTCCTGTGGCTGGAGCGAAGCAGAGAAGGGAGCGAAATCCACCGAGGTGGGCTCTCCCGCCTCTTGGCTCCCGCCTCCACCGCCCTGCTTGCTTCTCCGCAGCTTCACTCCCTTCTGCAGCGCTTAGCTTCCTTCTACGTTGTCTTTAGTCTTCGCTCTGTGCCTGTGTATGCAAATTAACCACCATCTTTGTTGGGTTAATTTGCATACTCATCTGATTGGCTGGTGGGCATAGCGGAATGACACCAATTTGCATGTTTCTCTTTTATTAGTGTAGATGGGTAACTATAACTGAAAAATACTACAGATTATTAAAAATCATAACAATTTGGTAAAAACTGGGTACCGTAGAACTTAAAATATTGCTAACTTTGTATTCTTTTTAAATGATAAGCTGATAAGCTTCATTAAGTGGAAAATGATTCATTCTTTTCTCTTACAGTCTCTTACATTTTTTTTTCACTAAAAGCATTCTCTTCTAAAAACACATTTCATTAAGCAAATTGAAGTGCTTAGTTGATCTGAGAAATAAGAAATTAGTACCATTAACAAAGGCTTGGATAATTCTATTAATAAGGAAACTGTTAAACACGCTGATATGATTGTTGTGTTAGTGGGCCCTATCTGTGGTCAACATCTCTTCTGTGAACCTTAAAAAATATCCGTCCTTGCAGCTACTTCCCACCTTCTCCTCAAAAGCAAACAACCTATCCTGGAGAGTGTTTAAGTTAATGACTCCAAAGTAAAGCAAATCAGGGTTACACCCTTGCCCTTCCCCATTTAACCAAGTCACAGAAATGCAAACATCACAGATTCATGGTATACATCTGTTATCTATGTCTACACATCCAACACAAGGCTTATGAATCTGAGCAAATTTTGTGAAGTTCAGCTTTCATTTTGGTTTTACACAAGAACGTATACACCTAAAAAGCTCATCGGTCCTGGCGATTTCTCAGTGTTGTGCTCACCGAAAGGGTCACTGCCACGCTTCCTCCTCTAGCATCTCGATGGCATTTTTTAAAAAAATATATTTTATTGATTTTTTACAGAGAGGGATAGAGAGTTAGAAACATCAATGAGAGAGAAACATCGATCAGCTGCCTCGTGCTGGGGATGTGTCCACAACCAAGGTACATGCCCTTGACCAGAATTGAACCTGGGACCTTTTAGTCCACAGGCCGACGCTCTATCCACTGAGCTAAACGGGTAGGGCTCTCGATGGCATTTTGAGTGACTTGTCTATGAAGTCTCGTGCATGCCTTAGGAAACTACTGCATACCAGTCTTGAATGCGCTGAAGGCTACATTTCCTACATTACAGGGGCTTGTGAGAAGTGTGTGTGTGTCTAAAATAGGGCTGCCATTTTCTTTACCTATTCCTCCCCCATCCGGCTTCGTTAAATAGGGTCATTCAAGCCTCCCTCTGCCCAATGCCAGCACTCTCATAAAGATTGATTTTTTTTTTTATTTTTTTTTTTACTTTACGGGAGATAGGAACTTGAAAGTGTCTCCTAACTGGTTTGCTGGGAGTTTTAAATGCGTTAAAAGAATTTGAAACCAAGTGAAGTGTGGTCCTAACACTGAGCTATCCGTCCTCGGATGTGGACTGGGTGTCTATGATCTGAAGGAACTGGGATCTGATGTACACCGGCCGGCGCGGGGTGGGGGAGGGAAGAACGGGGGGGGGGCGGGGGGGAGAAAAGAAAGAAAAGAGCGTCTACAGAGCACATCCTACACTACGGTTCCTGAGTTGCTCACTCCATCCCCAGCTACCTCGTCTCTGGGAACCAGCTGGAAAGGGGAAGCCCATTGAGCAGGAGTTTGGGTTCAAGGCAGCCGTCCTGGCCTCAACCGCGGGCCTAGACAGACACCTGGCTTGTGGGGCCCACGCGACCCGGCTCAGCCCTCTCTCCCCTCGGGTCCTGCAAGGGGGCGGCGTCACGCTGTCGGCCCCTTCGGGGACCTTCACATTCCTCTGCGCCCAAAGTGTTAACTTCAGGGGCGCGGGGGTGGCAAGGGGACAGCAGACCAGGAGGGACAGGCCCTGGGATCTCTGGGATTTTGAAGGTAGCAAAGGACCACGA